TTGGGGTATATAACAAAATCATGACTATTGGATATGAAGTTTTTGGTTAATTTTTAGATTCTGGATTGGTTAATTTTTGTGTTATTTTTGCCAATTTTCCATTATAGAAAGAATGAATTAATGAAACACCAAAAAAAAAAAATGGATTCAGATTTATGTTTCTCTTTTTTTATTTATTTTAAGGGCCACTTTGACTCCTCTACTCATGAAACCTCTTTAAATACACACACACTTGTGATCACATAATCTCAAGATCCAAAAACTCTTACTTTCAAAACATGGACCGATCCATATTTATTTCTCTAGCACTAACCTCACTCTTGATCGGAGTCGTCTCAGCTCGTGACTGGAACATCTTGAACCAACTCAAAGGACTCGGTTCTTCTTCAAGCCAAAACGGTGTCGGTTCTTCAAACCTCTCGACGAACCTGAAACGGTACTGTGAAAGCTGGAGGATCAACGTGGAAGTTCACAACATCAGAAACTACGATGTAGTGCCTCAGGAATGCGTGGCTCACGTGGAGAAGTACATGACGTCATCTCAGTACGAGGATGACGTGGAGAGAGCCGTTGATGAGGTCATTCTTCATTTCGGAAGCAAGTGTTGTAGTAAGACTAAGTGTGATGGTATGGATGCTTGGATCTTTGATATTGATGACACGCTTCTCTCTACCATACCTTACCACAAGAAAAATGGCTTCTTCGGGTAAATCCCAATTCTCGAATTCAACCGGTTTAAAGATCGGTATTTAGATCAATTTTTTTGGTTTTGATTTAGATTAAAAAGACATGGATTAATCCTGGTCTTGTGAATGCTTATGGAATTTAAAACAGAGGAGAGAAATTGAACACTACGAAATTCGAGGATTGGATTAAGAAGAAGAAAGCACCGGCGGTTCCACATATGGTGAAATTGTACCACGAGATCAGAGAAAGAGGAATCAAGATTTTCTTGATCTCTTCCCGGAAAGAATATCTCCGATCTGCCACCGTCGACAACCTCATCCAAGCCGGTTATTATGGTTGGTCCAACCTACTCCTCAGGTAAATACATACCGGAACTTTATTCGGTTCATACATTCTCATAGATCTCCTCTAAACCAAAATTGAACCAAAAGCCAAGTTGTTCACTCCTTAATACTACATTTCATTTAAAAACCGATTTTGTACAAACCTCTAGTAAATCATTATGGTTTACACGAACCAGATTAGATAACCGATATACTAAGACAAGAATTCTGAACAATGCAGGGGCATAGAAGATGAGCAAAAGGAAGTGAAACAGTACAAGTCAGAGAAGAGGACATGGCTTATAAGTCTTGGTTACAGAGTTTGGGGAGTGATGGGAGACCAATGGAGTAGCTTTGCAGGTTGTCCTCTTCCCAAGAGAACCTTCAAGCTCCCTAACTCCATCTACTATGTCGCCTGATCAAAACCAAAAACAAAACTTTGATTTAGCTTATGT